AGCTCCTCTGACCCCCGTCCTGATGGCTGGACACTGCTGGCTTAGTTGCAGCTTCCTGACAACCAGAGAGAATTGCTCGTGCAGGGAGATGCCCTTTTCTCTATTCATAAAACTTTCTGGGCCACCCCATAGCCTACTGGTTAAAGAAGCTGGACCACACAAGGCCGATTGCAATTTGAAAAGCAAGCCAGGGGAACAACAGGAGGCACAGTGGTTAAGGTGCTGGGCTCCCACATGGCCAACCGTGGTTTGAGTCCCAGACCTGGCAGCTCTCTCTCTCTCTGGTAGAGTGAACATGCCCTATGGCAAATTAAATTATAATGATAATGGATAAAATAAAATACATTTTAATTTTTTAATTACATTTTTAAAATTTCTTTTTTAAGAATAGTTTTATTTAATTTTATTCATTATTATTATTATTTGACCAGAGAGAGATGGACAGAGAGAGAGAGGGAAAGTGAGGAACAAAGCCACCAGGACTGGGACTCGAACCGTCAGCCATATGGGAGTCCAGCAAGCCTTAGCCACCATGCCACCTACTGGTAGTGATATCTGGAGGTATTAGGAAATAGAAAGTCGAGGGAGAAGATTCGAGAGAGAGGCAAATTCTACTTGATTTGGTATGCTACTCCAGGGCAAGGCATCTAGGGAAAACAATGGAGACCAGCAGGTAATGGCGGTACAACCCAGGCCTCATCTAACAGTAGTTTCTAAAATCTCTCTAGAAAAAAAAAAAGTAAGAAAGAAAGAAAAGAAAGCCAGGCCCATGTGCACACATGTCCCTAACAGGATGGAGAAATAGAGGAGAAGGTATTGGAACATGATCATGCCCCAGTGGGGGATGCTTTCTCCCACTCCTCTCTCTCGCTCCAGCAAGAACATGCACCCTCTGGCAATTAAAAATAAGAATAAAAAAGAAAGAAAGAAAAAGAAAAAGCAAAACTTTCCCACCAGTCCTAGGGTAGAGAACATTTGCTTTCAAAGGAAACTACTGGGGGAGTTTCTCTGGTACCTTACTTGGGTACTCTCAGATGTGTAAGAAATCCATCTGATAGGACCAGCAGATGGCATAGCTGTTATATCACTTTACTCCCGCATAGTCTACCACAGTTCGAGTCCCAGACCTGGCAGCTTGAAACTCACACTGGGCGTGTGTGTGTGCGTGCCCAAAATCCCGAGAAGAGACTGGAGGAGAAGGGATTGCAGTGTGGCCATCCCCTCGGAAGGTGATTTTTATTTTCTGTCTCTCTGGTGAGTGCATGCGCCCTATAGCAAAAACCTCTCTTAAAATCCTTCTGAGAGGCAAAGAAACGCAGATAGGAGGGGCGAGTGAGACAGTGTAGGAAAGGCAGGCAGATAAAGGCGGCATAGGCACCACCAAGCCGACTGCGTGGGCACCGCTGGAGCCCAGTCATGAAGGGGGACTCTTGAAGCCAGTGTAGACTCACTCTCAGGTTTCCTACTTAAAGGATGAGGATACCCTAACTTGCATTGATCGCTGACCGAAGGCTACCATTGGGGGGTGGTGGATACCTGAAGTTTGCCACACAGGTGAGCATGGTGGGCTTCAGGGACAGCAGAACAGCCCTTAGGCAGAGCCGCAGGTGCTGGCAGCTGGGAGTTGGCCAGTGTGTACCAAGAGGGTATGAACAGAACACCCCCGTGACTCTTCGCCTCTGGATTCTATCTTTGACCCCGAGAAGACTCCGAATGAAAAACTCCTCTTCCCAGGGACAGGCTCAGGCTCACTGCCATGTCCTCCTACCCCTCCACACTCTACCCCTTTCTCTCCCCCACACCTCCCAGACTAAGACCAAACCAGTGATGGAACAGAGCAGCGAGGATCTGACCCGAGCTGGATCAGGCGCTCTGGCAACAGCCAAGGGGAGACCCTGAACAGTGAGATCTCATGGCTGTGTTAGCTGAGGATTTTCCCCCAGGCAAGAAGTGACTCCCATCAAGGAACTGAGGAGGAAGGCAGAGGTGTGACATTTCCATAACAAGTAGTGAAGCAACAAGAAAGGTTTCTAATGTAGCAATAATGGAAAAGAAAGGTTGGTCTAGACACTATAGCACTCTGCAATGTGGGAGGCCATATGGAAGACTGGGGTGCAGTTTCTGGATCCGCGCGTACATGCCAGGTCTGCATGCCCAGGGCCCTGCCTGGCTGAACGAGGAGAGCGGGCAGGGCATCACGGAGTGAGATCTTGTGGAAGGTCTCTATCTCTTATGAAACAGATAAATAAACCTAAACAATTTTAAAAGGGGAGACTGAATCATCTTCTGTTCTTTTAAGAGAAGATGACATTACGAACTGATGCAAAATAGAGATGTAACCGAAGACAGCCATAACACAGAGGAAAGTGTATTTCAGAAGCGTCATGAGCACTTAACACAAATCCTCATCCTCATCTTCTTCCCAGACGCGGTGACTGGATGAGACCGTTCCGGGAGCAGCTTGAAGATCAGCCAGTGTCACCAGCCCTCCGGGAAATGCAGGCACTTTTTCTAGGTCTTCCTCACTGGACCAGCCTCTTTTCCCCTGGAGTCTGCTCTCTGAGCTGCCATTGCGGCCCCTGCAATCTGAGCGTTGCTGGAATGACCTGCCCATCAGATATGTTTCTGTAACCGCTATGTGTCTGAACCCCAAGGATGAACGGGGATTCAAGGTGCTTCTCAGGAGCACTCCCAGGAGATCCCAGTGTGGATCGGCAAGGAAGGGGCATTGCCTAACCACCTGCCAATGGCATTGCCTCCAGCTCTGCCTGCTGAGACAGAGTGGGTGGTACTCTGGAAGTCCTTCACCTAACGGTGAATTTGGACTTGCCGTGAGGGCTGTGGCTTTTCCCGTGGCCACTGGGCACTTGGCATGTGACTGCAGAACTGAGCTTTACCTTTGAATTCCTTCTGCTTAATTTACATAGAAATAGCTTCATGCATCTAGTGGCTATTATACTGGGTAAGGCAGCTGCAGACCCTCCCAGGGTCAGGACCAGGCTAGATTTTTGTCCCCATTTCTTGCTCAGCTCTTGGCCCCACTTCATACTCCCTTCTTTACTGGTTTCTCCTGAGGTTTGACCTTAATAAGTCACATGTACTCAAACTCCTGTCTTGGGCTTAGTTTCTAGGAAACTTACCTGAGACATTGTTCTCATTATTTAATAGTAAATTACAGAGGGACCAGCAGTTGGCATAATGGCTATGTTACTTGATTCCCATGTAGTCGACCATGGTTCAAATCTCGGACCCAGTGGCTTAAACTCACGCCAGGCGTGTGTGCATGTGGGCCCAAGATCCCGGGAGGAGAATGGAGACGGGACTGCGGTGTGGCCATCCCCCTGGGGGGTGATTTCTCCTTCTCTGTCTCTCTTTCTCTGTTTGTCTTTCTGGCAAGCGCACACACTTTATGTGCTTAAACCCTGCATCTGAAGTACACATTCAGATTCAAGGGTACTCAGAATGTTTTTAGCAAAAAGTATGAAAGAATCCCCAAATCATCTGGCTTAAACAACCAGAGAATGTATTTACTTCTTTCTCGACCTATTTATTTGCCAGAGGCTGTGTGTGCTCATCAGAGAGGGAGAGACAGAAAGCACCTTCTGGTGGGGTGTGGTCATGCTGCAATCCCTTCTCCTCCATTTCGTCATCTCGTCAGGACTTGGGGCATGCCTGCACAAGCATCTAGCATGGTTTTCAAGCCACTGGGGCTGGAATTTGAACCACAATAGGCCATGTGGGATCAGTTTCCTTAACCCCTGGGACACAGAACCAGCCCCAATGAGGAAATTTACTATTTAGCACCTGGAAGCCTGAGGGTAGAACAACTCCAGGGTTGGATAATTCAGTGCTTCAATGATATCTTCAAGAACCATCTTGCTGCTCTGTCACTAGAGTGTACAGGCTTCCCTCTGGGCCTAGCCTTTCCCTCATTGTCACAAAGTGGCTGCCCTGGCATCAGCCTTCATATCTGAGTAGAGCTATGTGCGGAAAAAGAAAAGACCACCGTTTTATTAATTCATTCGTTCGTTTAATTTGCCGGAAGGCATGTGTGCTCACCGGAGAGAGACAGAAGGGGGAGGCGGTGACTAAGAAAGCACCACCAGGAGGGATGACGACGCTGCAGTCCCTTCTCTTCCATGCTCCTTTTGAGATTTTTAGTATGTCTGCAAATGCACCTGGCATGTTTTCTGAGCCTCCCAGATCCAGGACTCAAACAGTACAGTGTGCCACGTGGGATATAGCCATCTTAACCACCTCGCCACTGGCTGGCCCTGATCACCTTTTCCCGGTTCTTTTATGAGGAGCAAGAAAAATTTTCCCAGAAGCCCCCTGCAGATTTCTTCTAGCTTCATTGTTCAGAACTACATCACAGGGCTATGTCTAAACCTACTCCTGCAAAGGGGAATGAGAAAACCAAAATTGCTTTGGAACAGTCAAGACCTACCCCTGGGTCTGTAGCCAGCTCTTCTGAAATTTGTGGTAAGCAGAGAAGGTGGATACCTGAGTATGAATACCACACAGCATCTGTGTGTACGGGTCGGGGAGACGGATAAAACGTTAGCGTGCTGACCACAGAATCAATCCCAGGTTCCTCTAGACCACGTGTTCTCTGCAGTATCTACTAGAAAATTGTTTGAACGACTTGTTAACATTCAGATCCCAAGGCTTACAGGACTGGCTAATACATGGAAGGTGCTTAAGAGGTATTTGTTTGTTGGGGCCGGCAGGTTGGCATAGTGGATAAAGGGTGCTGGATTCCCACATGGCCAACCATGGTTCAAGGCCCAGACCTGGCAGCTTGCTTTCTCACTTTCTATCTCTTTCTCTCTCATTCTGTCTCTCTTTGGTAAAATTGAAATAAATAAATAAAGTTAAAATAATAATTTTTTTAAAAAAGATATGTGTTGCAAGAAAGGGCAGGAGACAGAGGAGGAGGCCTTTCGAGTGGAATCACCCTCAGATGGCTTTTCTACTCATTAATGTTAAAGAAATCTTACCTTGTGCTGAAAATGAAAGACTCCCCTCCAGCCTCTTCATTGCCAGTCTCCTGGCAGAAGGGACGTCGTCTGTGATCACGTTGCCACAGGCACGGCTCTGCGCTAACGCTCAGTGACATCAAGAGGAAAGGGTGCCTACCGGTCGTCCTTGGCATCCATTATTAACGGGGCTTTCCGCTCTGCTTGCTGAATCCCGGGTTCCCGTTACAGCACTTCATGCAAAATAAATGAGGGCAATAATGGCTTCCATTTGGTGGGCGTACTGAAAAACCATCCAAGAACTCATAAACATCAGCTTGCAGAAAGGAGGATCTGGGCCCATCATTTAATATGATGAAAGATCTCAGGGGTCGTTTTGGCATCTGGAAAGCTGTCACTGACAGGAAAGTCTAGCTGTTTATCTTCTGGACTCCAAAGGGAGTCTAATAGAAGGTTCGGTCTTCAGTTAACTAACACCGATCTCCGGGGGAAAGAAAGCCTGGCGGTGACAGATACTGGGCCACAGGAAGAACTTGTTGCTAGAGAAACCAAACAGCGATCAGTTACATTTTATTGATTGTGAATAATTGGACTGCTTTTTGCCAACTGCCTGCTTAACTTCTTTACTGGCTGTCTAAACAGCATTTCAGACTTACTATGTCCAAAATGAGAGTCTGGATTTTAGCCTCATCACTGCTGTTTCCATCTCAGTTTCTTTCTTTCTTTCTTTCTTTTTTGAAAGGTTTTTCGCTATAGGGCGCGTGCGCTTGCCATAAGGACAGAAAGAGACAGAGAGACAGAAAGAGACAGAGAGACAGAAAGCAAGAAATCACCCCCCAGGGGGGATGGCCACGCCGCAATCCCTTCTTCTCCATTCTCCTCTTGGGATCTTGGGCATGCACGCACATGGGCCCAGCGTGAGTTTAAGCTACTGGGTCCAGGACTCCAACTGCGGTTGTCTACATGGGAGTTCAGCGACATAGCCATTACGCTAACGGCTGGTCCCGAAAGCAGTAGGTTTCTACAGAGAGCTCCACTGGGCAGTCTCACGGCCCTAAAGGTTTTTAAGTCTTTCATCCTGAAGTGATAGAGTAGGTGGGCGGACGGGATTCCCATGGAATAGTTAAATGAGTTTCAACTGCAAGTCTGCGTTTCTCAAAGGCGAGAGGGGCACACGTATTTCTGGAGGTACGAGAGGTGATTTTAGCAGGTTTGTAGTTTTCTTTTTTTTTGGAGAGGTTTTTGCTATAGGGCGTGGGCGCTCGCCAGAAAGAAACAGAAAGCCAGAAATCACCCCCCCCCCAGGGGGGATGGTCACGCCGCAATCCCTTCTCCTCCATTCTCCTCTCGGGATCTTGGGCATGCATGCACACGCACCCGGTGTGAGTTTTAAGCCACCAGGTCTGGGACGCAAACCGCGGTCTACTACGTGGGAGTTCAGCGACATAGCCATTACGCTAACTGCTGGTTCCCAACAGGTTCGTAGTTTTCTGAAGTATGCTCTGCCTTTCACGGTCACCTCGTCCGTCACCCTTTGTGCAAGAGTGGTTGCCATCGCTAGATAAGCCTAACAGAGAGAATCACCTTCAAGACCTCTCAGGGGGATGACTCCTCCTGTATTGGAGGTCTGGGAGGAGAAGGTTGTGCCCCACAGTTCAGTCAGGCTGAGAGAGGAGGGATGGCGTCTTCTGCCCAAGGCCCATTAGATGTGAGAGGGAGGAACAAAGCCGCACGTTGCCTGCCTCCTCTGGGCCTGGTGCTGAGAGTCAGGCTACAGTGGATCGGGAAGACATTCTCCGAGAGGGTGGGAGACGGCAATTATCAAGGGAAATTCTCGACCAATGGTAAAGTTCAGGGTAACCATATACCATTCTAAAACTCATTCAAATGAGCTGAATTTTGGTTGACTACATTTCCTAAATTTTTTCTGATACCCACTCCCCACATTTTCTCTCTCTCTCTCACCATCAAGCTACCCACCAGTGCTACTGTGCTGGAGTTCCTGAGTGTTTTGTATCGGCCACTCAGTGTTGTCTGCTTCACTGCCTGGGTTCCAAGCTGTCTACATATCTCGGACTTAACGTTTCTAGTAAACTTTGGCTGACTTCCTCAAGCCCTGGCCTCAAGCCTGCTCCTGGCCATTTTCAACCAGTGTTACCTCTGTGGTGCTAAAATGGGGACAACAACAGAATAGAAATCACCAAGCAGAGGCCATAAGAGCCAGATATTGAAAGATGACCAGCCATCGAGTATAAGAAACAGGTTGGGGCCAGCAAGTCGCGTGGTGGTTAAAGGTGCTGGATTCTCACATGACTGACCATGGTTCAAGTCCCAGACCTGGCGGCTTGCTTCCTCACTTTCTCTCTCTTGCTGTCTCACTCTGTCCCTCTCTGGTCAAACTGAAATAAACAAATGAATAAATAAATAGAGTTAAATAAAATAGTTCTTTAAGAAAAAATAGCATAAGAAACAGACAATAAAGGTGAAAGTCACTAAAGAGATATCCTCGGCATGTCTGCGGATGCCAGAGAGAGAGGGATGGGTTAGACAACAGAGTCTACATTCAAAGCACACTCAGCTGGGCAGCTCTGCAGCCTAGTTGTTAACAGAACCAGATCCTACATGGCTGGCTACTGTCCGTATTCTGGCCCCAGTGGTTTGAAAAACACACCAGGCATGTGTGTGTGTGACCGTAATTCTGACAGGATGGGGAAATGAAGAAGGGACTCCCTTCTCCTTGCTGCTCCCTTCACTCCACTGTGGGACGCTTTCTCTCCCTGTCTCTCTCTCTCTTTGTAGAGCACTACACTTTGGCAGTTAAAAAATAATTCATTAGGGGCCGGCAGATGGCTTGGAGGTTAAGGGCACTGGACTCCCACATGGCCCACCGGGGTTCAAGTTCCAGACCGGGTGGCTCGCTTTCTCACTTTCCCTCACTCTCTCTCTCACTCTTTAAAATCAGAGTAAAATTAAATAAAAATAAAGTAAAATAAGATAATTATTTTTAAAAATTGATTAATTAACTAAAATTTGCTTTTGGCTCTCTGAGTAGCACTGTGGCAGTTGGCAAGAATAAGTGCCTTATGAAAGGTGGCAAAAAGGGAGCCAAGAAGAAAGTGGTTGATCCATTTTCTAAAAAGATCGGTAGGACATGGAAGCGCCTGCTATGTTCAATGTAAGAAATATTGGGAAAACCCTGGTCACAGGACGCAAGGAACCAAAATTGCGTCTGACAGCCTTAACGGCCGTATTATTTAAAGTGAACCTTGTAGAATGATGAAGTCGCTTTTAGGAAATTCGAGCTAATTACTGAGGATGTTCAGGGCCAAAATTGGATCCCTTGCTTCAAAGTAGAGCTGACTTCGTGGGCGGGTCTGGCTCCAAGCTCCCCAGGGAAGCAGACTGAAGCCAGCCTTCAGTGGAGACAAAAGCCTTGCTTAGCTCTGCCCTCTGACCCTTCTAGTTCCCCTTCAACCCTACAGTCTTCCCCCGTAACCCACCTGTACCACAATCCCTGTCTCAGACCCTGGATGATGAGGGCTCTGGAAATCATTTCATTGAAGGAGTGAAGAGGGGCTGCAGTATTTATTTTGGGGGAAAAAGATTTTGGGGAGCAGCAGATGGCATGGAGGTTAAGAAACTGAATCTCACCTGGCTGACTCTGCAGTTTGAGTCCTAGGTCTGGCAGCTTGAAAATCACACGAGGCACGTGTGTACACATGCCCAAAATCCTGAAAGGAGACTGAGGAGACGGGATCGCAGTGTGGCTATCCCCCCTGGGGGGTAATTTCTCACACTCTCTCTTTCTGTTTCTGGCAAGCGCATGTACCCTATAGCATAAATGGAAATAGGGTAAGTAGCTGCCTTCATATACTAAAAACAACAGTAATAATTAAGGGTCAGCAGGTGATATGGTGGTTAAGGGTGCTGGACTCCCACCTGGCTGACTGAGGTTCAAGTCCTGGACCTAGCAGCTTGCTTTCTCACTTTCTCTTTCTCCCTCTCTCTGCCACTGTCTCTCTTGCTCTGTCCCTCTCTGGTCAAATTAAAATAAATAAATACATAAAGTTAAATAAAAATCATTTTCAAAATAAAAATCATTTTAAAAATTTGAAAGGAAAAGGACAAATTGGACAGAGATTTTAACCAAGGCAAAATTTGGCTCAATGTCAGAGAGAATTTCTCATACCCAAAGGTTTATGTAGGTACACACTGCGTCACACAGTAATTGGCAACCGCTGTTGAAGTATTTACCTGCAATCCGGAGGATGCCTCTGTATTGTCTGGTAATTCACAGGACCAGGGGCAGGCTTCTAGTTGTCGTCACTCCCAGTGGCCACAAGATGTCAGCAACAGAGAATTCCCTAATGTTTAAAAACAAAATTCTCCATGTTTCCACAGATTTGATTCAGATCTTTACACGTTATAGTAGGTGTTGTGTTTACTATCAGGAGCCCTTACAGATTTATAACTCACAAAATTTAGAAAGCAAAAACATTTTCTCCAAATAATATATCTTACCATTGGAAAAAAAATGGAATCTCCGAGGCAGGAAGATAAACCCTACTCACTGAGGTTTACCCTGAATCAGAGTAAGCATATTTCTTCCATCCTGATCTCACTACCACCATTGGCTACACAGGTTTCCACGGTCAACTACGGTGTCCTTCCTGAGGGGGGCAGTCTGTGCTGAGATGGCCTCAATCATAGGACTGCATGTTAGATATCAACCTATGCTGACATTCCCAGAAAAACTTACCTACCCCGCCAGGCCCCTTTCTGCCCCAACCTCAAAGTCTACAGAGAGATGTCCGAACACTGGGAGCCTAACAACTCTACTGGCGAACTCACATACACCTGTGATTTCACTAAGGAGATTAATATTAGAGTTCTGTCTGCAACCCTGAAGCCAGGCAGTCCAACAGGCCTCGCAACCCTGCCATACGTGGTCCCAATCTGCGGTACTTACGGCTTCCCAATGAACCTTTCCTCCTAGTAACTCTGCTCTTCTGTTATCCCCACCCACAGTGAACCATGGCTGGTCTATGTGGCTGATTGGATATACAGAAGTAATGGTGTATGTCTTCTGCGACTAGGTCATTAAAGTATTTGTAGCGGAGGAAACCATCTGTCCTATTATGAGGACACTCAAGCAGCCCTATGGCTTCTTCCATGTGGGGAAAAACTGAGGCCTCTGGCCAAAAGAGGAAGCCATCTTGGAAATGGATCCTCTAGCTACAGTCAAGCCTTCAGACACCACAGCTCTGGGCAATATCTGCTACCTCATGAGAGACCCCAGGTCTCTTATTACTCTAGCTCTAAATTACCCTAGCTATGGTATTCCAATCTACTGAGGCTGTGAAATAATGTTTATTGTCATTTTTGGTGTTGAGGTAATTTGTTATTCAGCAACAGGTTACTAATACATAACACAACACCCAAAATGCCAGTCTCGTTGGTCATATATATCTTCTCAATTTCTTCTCTGCACTCTGGCTACGGTCCTCACCACCCTGGCTGAGTAATAATAATCTTCTAACTTGGACTCTCAACACACATTTTTCAGGCCTTACATCACTGACTTTCTCTGCCTTTTTTTTTTTTTTTGACAATGGGAGTCTTTAAGACTTCCTACTTCCTGGATTCCTTGATATTTACCAATCTGATTCTCCTGTTTTGTTTTTTTCTTTTTTCTTTTAGGTCTTCCTATCTCTTCTTCTTTCAAAGAGGTTCTTTTCTTGGGTCAACCCATGGCCTGGTGGTTAAGGGACTTGGACTCCAAGTAGCCGACCATAAGGTTAGAATCCTGGCTCTGGCAGCTTGAAGGACACATTAGGTGCATGTACAAGTAAGTGTGCCCCAAGTCTTAACAGGGCATAGAAATAGAGAAGGGATTGTGGTGTGGCCACACCCCTTGGCAGGGGGGTGCTGTCTCCCTGTCTCTCTCTCTCAGCTAGCGCACATGCTCTCTGGTAAAACTTTTTAAAAATTATTCAATTTTATTTATTATTATGTTTTAAAAATTGTACAGACCTAATGCACTCACCAGAGAGACAAAGAGAGAGAGAGAGAGGAAAGTGAGAAAGCAAGCCACCAGGTCCAGGAGTTGAACCAGAGTTGGTCATGTGATAGTCTAGCTCCTTAACCACCATGCCACCTGCTGGCCCCTGGCAAATATTTTTTAAAGAGTTTCCTTTTCCATGTGCCTCTTGACATGCTGGTTTTGCATCAAATTCTACCCTCTCCACCCACAATCCCATTCCAGAGCTTCTTACCCTTGAATCCACCCTCACGGGTATCCACTCATGCCAACTCATGAGAACCAGAATTGCACATTTCTTCCCAACTCTGCGATTAGCAATGCCACACTGATAGCCTGAAATTGGCTGTGGAGGGAATGTTTACACCACAGAGCTCAACAGCTGTCTCTTCACTGTTCAGGAGCCTCTGATGACTTTCTATTTCACTCAGAGTAAAAGTGTAGCTTCTTCCAGTGGCCCAGGAGGCCTCACATGATCCTGCCTCCCCTTCTCTCTCTCTCTCTCCAACCCCCACTCACACTGCCAAAGCCACGCTGTTCTCCTTGCTGTTCCTCACACACACTGGGGATGTTTCTGGCGCTTCTGTGTACCTGGACACCTCTTTGCCTGGATATCCCACCATTCAGTCTCTGGTCTTCTTCAAGTCTTTGCTCAAATGTCAACTTCTCAGTAAGACCTTCCCTGACCATCCTATTACAGACACAGGAGTACAGGTAGATGTGCAACAGTATACCACAACTGAGTGAAAAGAAAGACACTGACAACCACATGTTATATATACATATATATCTATAATATCTTTATGTATTTATGTACACACACACATAATGTGACGATCTTTATTGAAAACAATGAATATGGGACCAGCAAATGGCATAATGGTTACATCACTGGACTCCCACATGGCCGACCAGGGTTTGAGTCCCAGATCTGGTGACTTGAAACTCATGCCAGGCATGTGTATGTGCGTGCCCAAAATCCCGAGAGGAGAATGGAGAAGGGACTGCAGCATGACCATCCTCACTGAGGGGTGATCTCGCTTTCTGTCTCTCTGTCTCTCTCTGGCAAGCACATGTGCCCTATAGCAAAAATCTCTCTAAAAAAAAGAAAACAATGAAGGTTATTATCCTTGATTTGATTGTCGCACACTACATGCACACTTTGAAAACCCATGTTGTGCCCCACAAAGATGTACAATTAAATGCAAATAAGGATTTATAAAATAAGATAAAATAGAAAAAAATTAAAAATGGAAACATTTCCCCCCATCCCAATATTTCTGATAACTATTTCCCACTTAATTTTTTCCTTTTTTTGGTAAATCTTACAACCTTTGAATGTCTTCTATAATGTGCTTATTTGTTGGATTATTTATTGTCTTTCCCACTAGGATGTATGGTAACCCCACTTAGCCATGACTCCCAATGGGTGCCTGGAACTATGGATAGCACCAAACTCTAGGTATATATTTTTTAACTTATTCATATATACCTATGACTAAGTGTAATGTATAAATTAAATACAGTAAGAGATTAATAGCAATAACTGATAGTGAAATAGAACAATTATAACAATATGCTGGAATAAAAGTTATATGCATGTGGTCTCTCTCCCTTTCTTGCTCTCAAAATATCTTTATTAGGCCCCATAGAACAGTAGTTAAAGATTCTAGGGCCAGCAGTTAGCCTAATGTCGCTAGATTCCCATGTAGTCGACCGCGATTCAAGTCCCCGACCTGGTGGCTTAAACTCATGCCGGGTGTATGTGTGTATGTGCCCAATATCCTGAGAGGAGAATGGAGGAGAAGGGATTGCGGTGTGGCCATCCCCCCCTGGGGGGTGATTTCTCGCTTTCTGTTTCTCTGTCTCTCTGTCTCTCTCCGTCTTTCTGGCGAGCACAAGCGCCCTATGACAAAAACCTCTCAAAAAGAAAAAAGACAAAACCCTCTAAAAAAAAAAAAAAAAAAAAAAAGACTGAATCCTACATGGCTGACCGTAGTTTGAATCCTGGCCCCGGTGGCTTGAAAAACACACTGGGTGCATGTGCGTGCATGCCCTGAATTCCGATGGGAAGGAGAAATGGAGGAAAAAGGATGTAGTGTGACCACGCTCCACCAAGGAGTGCTTTCTCCCTCTGTATGTCTCTCTGGTGAGTGTACAAGTTCTCTGGAGACACACACACACACTCACACACATATGTATAACATACATATGTGTGTGTGTGTATTATGATCTTTATTGTACTATACTATTTTCAGACCATCATTAACTGAATCTGCAAAAAGTGGGACCGCAGATGAGGGAGGGAGACGACTATTTCCACAGAGATGGAGACCTCTGTGTCTTGTTCACTGACATAATTCAAACATCTCTTAGGATAACTCCAGGCCCATCATGTTCTTTCAAGGGTTTCCCTCTACCTGGAGGAGACTGTTCTCTAGCCCCTGAGCCCAGAAGATCGCTCAGAGACCTCAGAACTTGGAGATGAGGATTCTGTATATGAAGGTGAACACTTTGGGTCGGAGGCAGACAAAATTCAGTTTCCTCGCCTGTAAAATGAGATGAATAATATTTGTTCCTACCAAGCCAAGCCTGCGGCACACTGGTTAGGGAAGACAGATCCTACATAGTGGTTCAAATCCTGGCCATAGTAGCTTGAAAAACACGCCAAGCACACGTGCTTATGTGCCTAAAATCCCAACAGGATGGAGAAATGGAAGAAAGGGATTGTGGCATGGCCATGCCCCATGGGAGAGGGTGTTTCTCCTCTCTCTCTCTTTCTCTCTCTCTCTGTCTCTCTCTCTCTCTTCTTGGCAAGTGCATGTGTCCTTTGACAATGAAAAAAAAAGTTGTTCCACATAATTTGCAGACTATGGTGGGGAGAATGGCCTTTAAGCACAAATTGCTGTGGTCCAATGACCCAGGGAGAAGACCCACTGTTAGCCTATGAAAATTCAAAGGCTATGTCCACCATCTTTGTGATAAAATGTGAGCTCTGGGGGAGGGCATATTTGTGTGTGAAACTCAAGAGATCTGAGACCATCTGGATGAGATGGGGACCTCTCAAGTGAGAAGAGGGTGTTCTAGACAGAGTGGACTGTACTCACCCACAGGGAGGAGGGACATGCAGCTCACGACCAGCGGCTACTGACATGGGAAGCCCAGGCTTTGAGAGGATGAACTGCTTCCCACAAGTCCTAATAGACCTTCTGCAGGCTCCAGGACTTCTCCTCCTCCTTCTTCTTCTTTTTAAAGAATTATTTATTTAATTTTATTTATTATTTTTTTTTTAATTTGCTGTAGGGCACACA